ATCTACCCATCCTCCCTCCATCCATCTATCCATCCTGTCTCCATCCATGAATCCATCATCACCCATCCACCTTCCATTTAGCCATCATTGCTCCATCCATTTATCCATCCTCCCTCCATCCATCTATCCATCATCCTTCTATCCATGTATCCATCATCTCCCATCCACCCTCCATCTATCCATCCTCCCTCCATCCATTTATCCATCCTTTCCCCATCCATGTATCCGTCATCCCTCCATCCATGTATCCATCATTCCCCATCCACCCTCCATCTATCCATCCTCCCTCCACCCATCAACCCACCCTCCCTCCATCCATCTATCCATCATTGTTCCATCCATTTATTCATCATCCCTCCATCCATGTAGCCATCATCCCCCATCCACCCTCCATCTAGCCATCATCCATCCATCATCATAGCCATCATCCCCATCATCCCCTACCCCTCATCCATCTATCCATCATCCCCCATCCACCCATGCAACTGTCCATCTTCCTCCATCTACCCCTCCAGTTACTCACCCATATGCACATGCACATGGGCCTCCCCACACCCGTATCTCCATCCATCTGGACATCTGCCCACCCACCCACTCATCTCACAAGTCACATTTCACCCACGACCATGGGCACATGGCGGTCTCACGCATCCTGACTTGTGCAGTCCTGACAACCTGTCCCTTGTTGGGTGCAGGAGGCCATGCGTCTGACGCTGACCCGTGAGAAGGAGGTGGCCCTTTGCCAGCTGGAACAAGAGAAGGAGTTGGTGGCACAAGGTGCGGCCGAGAGGGCAGCTCTGAAGGAGGACATTCAGAACCTGAGGCAGGAGCGGGACCAGAGCCTCCTGCAGCTGGAGCGTGAGATGCAGCAGGTGACGGGGAAGGTCGAGACAGTGGGGGGCAGAGTCTGCACCCGCTCAGTGCGCCTTCGCTGACCCAGCAGCCCCACAGGGAGATACAGCCTTTCTAAGTCACTGTAACGTCCAGGGTATCGGCCCCCAACCATGTAATGGGTATTTAGGAGCAACTTTGTGATCACGGAAAATAATAAAGACAGACAGTCAGACAGTGGCGCACAGGGGCTCCTTGTCCCATGTCAGGACCAAGAGAGTGAGTGAGTGTATTTTCCAGTGGGTGTATATAACGGGCTTACAGATCTTTCCAAAGGCATGCTGGTCATGCAGTTGGCATATTATAGTCAATGGGCAGCATCATAAGCAGGTAACATCATAAACAGGCAATGAAGTGGGTCATCGTCTTGACCTAGTGCTAATTGACCTCAAACGTCCCTGGGCTTTCCCCAGGGGATCATTCTATGATAGCTGTCAGCAAGAGATGTCAGAAGCGGGCTGCCACATTTTATGGTGGGTTGGGCCATAGAACCTGATTGCTCTGACCTACAGAGAACCTGCAGGCACAGCGAACAGACAGACGCAGGAATGACTCTCCTTCTTTATGGCCATTCCTCTATGGGGGTTATTGGAGGGGCTGTGCTCAGTCGTGAGAATGTGTATTAAGATTTATTTATGTCTCATCACCATGAGGGTCTTCCCCCACCGGAGTTGGCTCTCCAGACCCGTCACTAGGAGCAGGGAGGTTTTAACTGCAGGACAGCCTCATCCAGTCCCTCAGTGGACCACACTGCAAGTAGAGAGGTTTTTTATTCCACAGCAGTCCTGAGTCAGTCATGTAGCCACCTACCGAACCACTTATCCCTCCATCTTTCTGGCCATCTATGCCTCTGCCCAGCTGCTGTCCATCCACCCACCCACCCATCTTTCTGTCCACCCACCCATCCATGCATGCATCTGCCTGTCTGTCCATCCATCCATCCATCTTTCCATTCATCCATCTGCTCTACTATCCATTCATCTATCCATATATCTGCACATACATTCATCCATCATCCATCTAGCCATCCATTTGCCCATCCACGCATCTGCCCATTTGCCGATCTACCCATCCAGCCTCATACCAGATGTTCACCCATGCATGTAACCACGCACCCAGGCATCCATCAACACACCTATGTGACCACTCGGCTGGCTCATCATTTACCTCTCCACACCTGTGCGCATAGCGTGTGTTGCTCTTTGTCATGGCTAAGCAGTGTTCCCTGAGTGAGGGGTCATCCTTTGTCCCAGGGCCCCTCGGTGGACATCCAGGTGACCGAGTCCTCCGGCTGCTTTGTAGCATTGCGATGAATGGTCCTGAGCACTGGTCACTCTGCACATACACTGTCCCCAGCTGCCTCACCGAGTGGCCTGTTCAGATGGGCAGTGTGTGTGCACCAGGTCCCTCTGCCCTCCAAGCTTCCCTGAGCCCGGCATAGCTCTGTGCCCATGTCCCTATGATTGGAGAAACTCAGCATTTGGGGCCTTGACAGAACATCAGGGGCTTTGCCTCTGTGCACCAGAGTTGGGGAGGGGGAGGGGGGGCTCCAGGAGGGTCAGCTATGAAGCGCCTGTCTGTGCTGGGTCTAGCGAGTGGAGTCTTCACAGGTACAGGACATCCTGTACTGCGGGTCAGAAGTTGGGGGCTAAGGAAGGTGCTCCGAGCCCCACCCCAACCAGACCACTGCCCCAGGACCCAGCTTCTAGGTGGGGGAAGATGAGCTGCCTCTGTGGGGAGCCCTCGCCCCTCCCAACACAGCTGTTGCAGGCAGGACATTGGGGCCAGGCGCTGTGAGGTTCAGAGACCCTCGTGGCCCTGGCCAGCACCCTTGTCCCCTCCAGGCCCTGTCTCAGAAGGAAGCAGAGAGGAGCCTGCTGAGGGAGGAGCTGTCTGAGGCCACACAGGAGCTGCAGCGGGCACAATGGGAGGCGCAGGGCCGGCAGGAGCGAGCCGAGGTGAGCCCTGCCCCTGAGATGCGCCCTCTTCCTGACCACACCATGTGCCTGGGCCTCAGTTTCCCCAGCAACTCTTGGCCCCTTCGGGGAGGAGACTGTCTTGGCCGGCACCAAGTGTCTTCAGTGGTGCAGATCTGGGTTCGCCCTCCCTGGAGGACACAGTTCCCAGTGCCAGCAGGGCAGAGGGCGGGCTTTGCCTGGGCCACCGTTGTTGAGCAGCCAGCCCTGCAGACCCAGCCCTGCTCTGGGCACTAAAGCTGGCCCTAGAGGGGCCACTCAAGGCCTTGGGGCGGGGCAAGCTCTTCAAATAGAGCAGGCCCGAGAGAAGAGACTGCAGACACCCACAGCAGCCCTGACCACAGGGACCCTCTGGGGATGCCCAGCTGAGCTGGGCAGCCACGGGGGCAACCACCCACCCCAACAGATAGAAAAACTTCATCAGTCTCTCACTAGACCCCTCTCCAGGGTGGCCGGACAGACGGCACTCTGGGAACCCAAGTCCCAGGTCACCGTGCTATCCTGGGCAGGTGACCCCTAAGCTCCCAGGCCAGCCTGAGACCTCGGCCACACTCCCAGAGACAGGGAGTGGGGTGTCCATGCAAGACAGGCGCTACAGGATCCAGGAGGAGGGGGCATGTGCCCTGCTCACAGGAAGGAGCCACTGCAGCCAGAAGACCCCCCTCCCTGCAGGGGTTGACGCAGTCCAGGGTGCTCAGCCCTGGCCCCTCACCCCACGCCCCACCCAACCAGCCCTGTTTCCTGTGCCCCCATCAGCAGCGATACCTCGGAACATCTGTAACTCCTGCGCTCCTACTGGTCCTGGCGAGCCAGGCCAGGGTATGCGTGCAGAACTCAGATCCGGTGGTCCGGCCCCTTCGGGCAAGAGGGCAATGGAGGGACAGTGGCCTGGGACGCAACCTTCCCCCTGACCTGCCCAGGTCCACCAGTCCCTGAGGTGTCTGCGTCAAGGCGGGTGTTGCATAGGAAGTGCCCTCCCTCCCCCTGGCCAACACCGCCATGCCACTCTGGGCAGGACTGCCCTGGGATGCCTGAGCCAAGCACTTCCCACTCCCCAGAGCCCCTCAGCCCGTGTCCAGGGCACAGAGGACCCGAGGGGCGGTGACGCAGGCCTCTGAGGGCAGAGCTGGCTGCTGAAGCCCACTCGCACCCTGGTGCTCGGGATCCCGGCCAGACAGCCCTTTGGGGAGCTCATTAGGGACGCTACCAGCTCAGCTTGGGAAATGGAGATTAGCCCACTGGGAGGGCAGCTGGCAGCAGTGACATAAGCAGGTGCCCTCGTGCCTGCCAGCACCTGTCCCCTGCTCCCTGCAGGGGGTCTGGGCGCCCAGGCCTGGGCTGGAGAAGGCAACTCCATTGGCCCCTTTGTGGCTGCATAGTCGCCTGGGGAGCTGGTGGCCCTCCCGCAGACCCTGAGTGGAGTGGCCGTGCGAACACACAGTCCAGCTCCAGAGGCCTCCACACACCCATGGGTGCCAGTATGGGTGCTAGGCCTGCACTGCTGGCCTCCAGGAGGGAGGGGCTCTCCTGGTCATGAGGACATGGCTGTTGGGGAGTGAGGGTCCTGGCCCCTGGGTGTACGGTCACTCAGGGAGGGTGTTGTGGGGCAGTGAGACTGCTGGCCTGCTTAAAGGAGGGCTTTGTGCAGGTGTGTGAGGTGGGGTCCTCCCGGTGCGTGTCCACGACATCCCTCCCCACCCTCCCACCGCCCCTGTGCATCTAGGGCACCAGGCGTCAGCCAGGTCTGTCTGACGAGGAAAATAAGGGCCAGGCTAACAAGGGCCTTGCTTGGTCTCCAGGATGTGGGCGCAGGGTGGGCGTTTCTCCTTTGGCCACAGCCACAGGTCCTGGGCTAGTAGATCAGTGCGTCTAGGCCAGGTGGTGGGCTACCTTCTCTGAGAGGGTCGAGTGGCCCTGAGCCTGGCAGCATGTGGATCCAGGAGACAAGCACCAGCCAGGGCCTGCCAGGCCCAAAAGCTCTCCTGGGCAGAGGTGCTACCCAGGCCCAAATGGCCATCGGCCCCCGAGCAGGGGCAGAAATGTGCAGAGGTAGGTGCTGCCTCCCTAACCACCTGCCCTGGCGTGGGGGCCTTGGGAAAGGGCCAGAAGACAGGGAGTCCTTGGCCCCCCACACCCAGCTCCTGTGAGGGTCCTGTGCTCCCTGCCTGGTCCCTGGTCCCTCTGGCCCTTCAGCCACAGCCCCCTCCCCCACACTACCTGCATGAGCTGTGCACCTGGTCTCAGGGCAAAGGTAGCCTGACAGACCCATCCTCCCTGTCACCCAGGCCACCATATCCACGCTGACCGAGGAGCTGAGGGTCCTGCAGGCCCAGTTTGCAGATGCCATCTCTGCCCACCAGGCCGAAGCCGCGGCTCTGAACACCAACCTCCGGGAGGTGGCAGCCGAACGGAGCAGTACGGGGAGGGAGGTGAGGGGGCAGGGGGCTTGGACTTGGGCTCAGCTGGGGGAATGGAGGAGACTGGGCCGAGGGGAGAGGGTGAGGGCAGGCCACCAGGTAGAGGTCCCAGGACCTGAGATAGGCCTGCACCCCCTTCCAGGTGTGGGGTGCAGGCCTGAGTCCCTCCCAGATTCAGGGGACCGCCCTGCACCCCTCTGTTTTGGGACACAGGCCTGCACCACCGCTCTCTCCCCGCTGACTCGACAGAGGCGCTCTAGATGATGGATTTGGCTCGGGAGAAGCAGGGCCCGGGCTGAGGCAGTGCCAGGCTGCGTCCAGGGAGAATTACCAGACCCTCCCAGAGCCTGGAGGGGGCCTGGGCCTGGGCCGTGGGCCTCGGCGCCTCATCCACCTGGCTTACGCCACCCATCCCCAGACTCCTCTCTCTCGGAGAGAGGGAGACTAAGGCCCCCCCACCCCTCCCCACCCTGGGGTACCTGTGTTCAGTCCAGTCCTCCACCCAGGGGAGCCCATCTGCCTGACACCCCCGCCCCCACCCCCCAGCAAAGAGGGCTCCTTGGCTGAGGCCCTGTTCCCAGCAGGGGCTCCCTGGCGACAAGGGAGGGTGGGGCTGGATGGTGGAGGGCCTGGGGGCAGGGGACAGAGAGATAAGTGCTGAGCTGTTAACCCTGAGGTCAGCGGTTCAAAGGCACCAGGCTGCTTGTGGGGAGGTCGATGGGGCCATCTGCTCCTGTGTGGATTACAGTCTCGGAAATGTGGGGGCAACTCCGCCCCGCCCTGTGAGGTCGCTGTGCAGAGTTACAGTCTCGGGCATGCAGGGGTGGTGGGGTGCAGCTCCGCCCTGTCCTGTCAGGTTGCTGTGCGGAGTTACAGTCTCGAACACGCAGGGGGGTGGGGGGCAGTGCGCTCTGCCTGTGGAGTCGCAGTGAGTCAGGACTGATGGCGTGCAGCAGTGGGTGTCCGGCTGGGGGCAGAGGGACAGTGGAGGAGGGTGTGCATACTAGGCATGGGGGTTGCTCTCAGGGGCACGTGGCTGACCCCAGAGCCCCCAGGAGCCACATGACAGCCACAGAGGCCCAAGCTGAGCTGAGGGGGCTCAGAGGCAGGCATAGATGAGGGGAGTTTCGGAGGCCGGTCTGACAGGACTGGAGGGCAGTGGGCTCAGGGTTTAGGACTGGGGTTGGGGAGGGGCCACTGGAGCCAGGTGAGGCCCGTGGAACTCGAGTCCTGGCTCTGTGCCAAAGCTAGCAGGCGGCACTGACCTGGCGCCAGAGCAAGTGGCCGTGGGCTCCAGGCCTGGGGGTGGCCCTGCTGGCAGCGGTGGTGAGGAGAGGGGCTCACCCCTCCAGAACACCCCCCACGGGGGGTGGGGGCAGGCCGGGAGAGGGCCCAGAGGAAGCGAGCATGATTTAACATGACAGGCTGTTTACTTTGGCCTGAGAGAGAAAGGTCCCCTTTCAACAGATTTCAAAGCCGGCCAGTCCCCGACCGCAGGGAGAGCCAAGGGCAGGCTTTACAACCGGGCCTCCGGAGGAGCTCCAGGTTCTGGGGGAAGCAGCCCCCCAAAAGAGAGCGGGGAGCCCCCAGAAAGGGCGGGGAGTGCAGCAGAGGCCCAGAGGCCAAAGAGGCAAGGGGGGTGCATCCCAGCAAGAGGCAGCCTGGAAGGACCCTCCCAGGCGCCAGGCTGGCCCCGGTCACCATGGAAACGGTAACATTTTCACAGCCTTTAAACTGGGAGCTGCAGGCCTCTCACAGCCCTGCCTGAGGTCCACACATGTGCGTGCACATGCATGCACATACGTGTAAGCCCATCCGCAGATGTCACAGATGCATGTGAACCCCTGGCACACAAATATACACCACACGGACACTGTGCACACGCACACGTGCACACACACGAAACACCATCCACATGGGTGCCATGTGCTCGTGTGTGTATGTACACAGATACAGGTGGGTGTTCAGACAGCACATGAACATGTAGACATATGCAGGCACCACATGTGCACATGTGCACTCCAAACATATATACACACACTGCAGTCCCACTCGCATGTAAACAGATGCATGAGCATATGTGCACCACACACAGATAAATGTATTCACTAAACCCATACTTGCACACCCGGACAAAGGCATACATCAAACCCATTCATTGCTATACATGGGTTACACGCCCTATGCACTCATGTAAACATGAAACATGCATATTTAAACAAGCACAATGCACACACATATATTCATATAAGACACACAGACCCATGTGCACACATGTACACATGTGTGCAGATTCATGCACACCATGTGCGTACACACGTGTACTAACTCATGCACATACTCTACACCCATATGCACACACAGCATGCCTGTATGTGATCACCTGTGGGCACCACAGAGATGCATGTGTATGTGCACCAAGTGCAGAATACATGCACAATGTACCTCCCATGTGCTCAGATGCACACAGAATACGTGCATGTAGACCTGCATGCATACATGTGTGCACACGCACATATACATGCTCACGTACACACACGTGCACACACAGACACACACCCATGCCCTGGTCAGGGTGCCCACACCCTTCTGCACCCCCCTGCCCTCTGTGCAGAGCCCATGAGCTTCCCCCTTGCAGGGGATTTCAAAAGAGGCTGTTTATACAATTTCTAGTAAAGAAATCATTTTTATAATCACATTAAGAGCTTTGGCTGTAAGATTCCTGTAACAGGGCCGCTGTTCTCACAGCGGGAGGCACGGGGGAGGGAGGTTCTGCCCACTGTTTTCCTTGCTCTCATCCCCTATGCCCTGGGAAATGCAAGCCCTTCCCTTCAGGGTGGACCGGCACTTTCTCTGGTCCTTGACCCTCTGGCGAGTTTCTGCTGAGCTAGGCGGAAAACACTCAGCTCGGCTAGGCGCCCACATGTGGGGGGTGGGGGCAGCATGGGGGGGTGGGGCCTGCCCCAAAACAGAGCCCCAGTGACGGCGGGCGGGCTGGAGCCTTCGGGGCCTGGACAGTGGCCTGTGCCAGTGGCCAGGAGAGAGGGCTGCCAAGGCAGTCCTAGAGGGCCTGGGCCTCCGCCCCAGTGGACAGGAGAGAAGGTTACTATTGGCAGACATGGGGGGCCCGGGGCCCCCACACCCAGGGAGGCTGCTGACTCCTGTGCCCCCGCCCCAGGACTCAGGAGAGATGGGACTGTAGCCTCTCAGAGCACCCAGTCTTGGGACCAGAGGGCTAGGGAGCCAGGTGCTCTGAGCAGCTGTTCAGCCCAGAGCGGGGCCTGCCAACCTTCATTTTCCACCAGATCTTCCCGCTGGGAGGCCATGGGCTCTGTGGTGCCTCAGGGGTCAGTGGGTCACAGATGAAATGCCCCCCCCCCACCAAACTCAGCAGAGCAGCTGAAGCCCCCAGATAATGGCCCACCTTGTCATCTTCAGGTGAAGCAGGACAGGGCTTGAGGGCTGGGTGCTGGGCTCGGCTCGGAGCCCGAGCGCTCAGGGGCTCAGGAGCCCTCCTGACTTGAGCATCCACAAGGAGTTGCCCCTGTGATGGCCAGAGCCCCTGAAGACGGACAGAGGGAGCCTCCGTCCTCTCACCTCCCTGGCCCAGGTCCCCACCCTGAAGGGGAAGCAGGGCCCTAGGGGCTGTAGTTCCTGATCCCAGGCTGCTGCCTCCACCCTCACCCTAGGCCGGCCCTTGCCCCGAGCCTGCCACTATTGGAGGAGTGGGGGCCAGGGTCACAGGTGGGTGAGGGGGTGGGGGCCATGAAGACACTGCTGGCCAAGGAGGTGGCAGAGTCAGAGGGCAGGCCAGGAGGGTCCGGTGGCATCTGCTCCCGTCCTGGTGAGCACCCCAATGACCTGGCCAAGGGCGTGTGTGCCTTCTCCCGGGAGCCCCTGGGGAACCCGCCTTCAGACACCTGCAGTCACTGGCATCTGAGGTCACGCTTAGGCAGCAGCCCCCAGGCCCCTGGCCTCCAGCAGACACCTCAGAGAACCCCGCACCCCCATCCCAGGCCGAGCACCTGCGGGCACAGCTGGCCGTGGCTCAGGAAGAACTGGCCACACTGAGGCAGGAGTGGCGGGACACCCAGGAGAGCCACGAAGAGGCACGCCGGGCGCTGAGTGACGCTGCCCGAGAGAAGGACGTGCTGCAGCGGTCCAACAGGGAGCTCCGGGCCACTGTCCGCGTGGCCGAGCAGGAAAAAGCCAGGTGGGGACTGCAGAATGGGGCCACAGAGGGGGCAGCAAACCCGGGAAGGCTGGCCCTCAGAGGGGCATGCACGCTGGCAGGAGTGCACATTGAGTCCGCAGGGTGTGAACAGGTGGGACCCTGGGCCCTGGACAGAGGTGTGTCCTGAAGACAAGAGGGACCTGCATAGGCGGTGTTCTGGGGTTCTGGGCATGGGGCAGCTCAGGCATGCGGGTCGCCTCTAGGGAAGTTCTGGTCGGGGTGGGTGGTGGGTGGGTGGGGTGGTCACCAGCCCCAGCCCCGCTCCTCTACAGCTTTTGGCTGGCCAAGGAGGAACAGGTTCAGAAGTCACTGGTCCTCACGGAGGCCGGGGCAGCCGCCCGGGAGGAGGCAGGTGAGCTCCGGGCCAGACTGCGAGAGGTGGAGAATGCACGAGTGGATGCCTGCCGAGGCCTCCAGGAGATGCGAAGACAGGTACGAGCTGCCAGGTGTGCTGCCCTGCCTCGAGCTCTTCCAAGACCAGCCCCCTGGGCCAGACCAGCAGACCCTCCCACAGGTGACCAGGTGCTGCGACATGGAGCACACCTAGGGGCAGGAGGCACCGCTGGTTCTTGGGTGTGGCTCCCAGGTCCCTTCCTCCCTGTGTGAGGAACCGAGAACCAAGGGCACACAGCCAGCGGCGGGGCAGGCTGAAGACAGCACACACACACACACACACACACACACACACACGTGCGTGCACAGAGCACTCACTGCCCCAGCAACACTGACGTCCAGCTGCCTCCACTTGCCAGCTCTCGGTGAAGGCTCAGCCCAGCCCCTGGTGGCGGTGCCCTCAGTCCTTTCCCATCAGTGACCTGTGATTTCCAGTGAGTTCGCTTCTCAGTTTCCTGTCTCCCGCTCCCGCCCTGATTTCAAGTTGATCCCAGCTCACAGCGGCCCGCGAGAATGGCGAAGGACGGGCCTGTGGGTTTCTGAGGCCATGCGTCTTCTTGTGGCTGTCCAGCGCCGTCCAGTCGGCTTTGACGCACAGCAACTGTATGTACAAGAGAAGGAGACACCACCGGGCCTTGTGCCGCCCTCACAAGTCTTCCTGTGCCTGAGCCCGTGGTTGGTGCGGCCACTGTGTCTGTCCAGCTTGTCAGAGGGCGTCCTCCTTGTTGCTGCCCCTCCCCTGTAGCAAGGACGATGTCCTTCTCCAGGGACTGGTCTCTCCGGACCACACATCCGAAGTACATGAGGCTGAGTCTCCCCGTCTTTGCTCCCAAGGAGCATCCGGGCTGTGCTTCTTCCCGGACAGGTTTGCTTGCTCCTTCGGCCGCCCATGGAACTCCGACGTTCCTCGCCACCACCATCATTCAGACACATCGGTTCTTCTTCGGTCTTTCTTATTCAATGTCTGACTTTCACATGCGTTTGAAGCAACTGAAAATACCAGGGTGTGTTAGGCCGGGTAGACTAGAGAAACTAATTCATAGACACTCATATGTGTATAAAAAGGAGCAATATGTACAAGAGTAATTGAATATTGAGAAAACAGCCCAGCCCAGATCAAGTCCATAAGTCTGATATTAGCCCATATGTGTGATACCAATCTATAAATTCCTCTTCAGACTCGTGAAACACATGCAATGATGCCAAATGCAGGAAGATCACAGGCCAGTGGGTGAAAAGTCTTGTGGATCCAGTGGTGGTATAAGCATCTCAGCACTGGTGTGGTCTCCAAGTGTCTCCTCAAGCTCTGAGGCTCTGGCTGCCATCAGCCTGTCTCCATGTGACTTGTCAACAAGAATGTCTCGCAGGGAGGGAGTGTCCTGCCTCCAGCAAGCTATTTATCGCCTTAGCGCCTCCAAATGAGGTCATCAAGCCACGACCTGATTGACAGGCTAGACTCCACCCCTTCACCCCTAAGTCTCAAGTTGACACCGGGTTACGTAACTATCACACATAGCTTGGGTCAGGCGCACCGCACCTTCATCCTCAAAGTGACATCATTTCTTGTCAACGCTTTAAAGAGGTCTTGTGGTAGCACACTCACCCAAGGCCATGCGTCGTTTGATCTCTTGACTGCTACCACCGTGAACACCGATCATGGATCCAGGGAAGACAAAATCTTTGACCACTTCCATTTCTCTCCAGTGATCACAATATTGCCTGTTGGCCCAGCTGAGCAGAAAGTCATGTCTTCCTCCTTTGGAGTGGCCGTGGTTTCAAACTGCTGACCTTGTGGTTGGCAGCCCAGTGCACTGTCTTAGTTCAGGAATCTCCTTTCTGTTCCCTTTACTCCAGCCAATGCAGCTCCCTTAAAAGCCCTGTGAGCTCCCAGTGTCTCACTTTATAACCCATTCACTGATGACAGCCACACCCACACTCAGGATGCTCCCATCTCTACCATGGGCCCCTTCACGGTCCTCAGTGGCCCCGTGGCTTCACAGAGAAGGCCCATCAAGAGTGTCCTTTAAGAGCCTTCGAAGGCCTTCTGTCTGTCTGAAAGGCTTAGGAGGCTCCACCCAAAATCTTTCTGAAATGTTACCCCCAGGTCTTCCAATGCTGCCCTTGGTTTGATCTTGGCCTTGCCGGGAGAACGCCCCACTGCCTAAGGTGGCAGGTTTAGGTGTTTCCCATTTCCTCCAGATTCCATTCAGAGATGGAATCATGCATGCCTCAGTTCATCTCCCTCCTCCCTGTGTGTCACAGACAGCGAGAGAAATCCAAGTACCATCTTCAACATTCTGCCCCAAAATGGCCTTGCCTAGATCATAGATCCATTTCCCATATTAAGCATCGGGTGCCTAACTGCAAGGTCGTCAGTTCAAACCCACCAGTCACTCCAAGGGAGGAAGACGAGGCAGTCTGCGCCCATAAAGACTTACTGTGTGGGAACCCTAAGGAGAAGATATACTCCCTCCCCTAGGGTTCGCACTCCCTCTTTGATGCCAAGAAATTTAGGAGACAGCTACTTGGACAACTGATTAGAAGAGGCCTATGCTTAGACCCATTCAGAAAAAGAAAAAAAAAAGGTGTCCCAACAGAATGGTCCAATTACAGAACAATATCATTGATATCACATGCAAGTAAAATTTTGCTGAAGGGCATCCTACATTGATTGTAGCAGCAGATTGACAGGGCGCTGGATGCAGAAGAGGATATTGAGCAAGAGATATCATTCCTGATGACAGCTGGATCTTGGCTGAAAGCAGAGACTACCAGGAAGATGCTCCCTTGTGTTTCATTGACTCTGCAAAGGCCTTCGACTGTGTGGAGCGTAACAAGCTGTGGATGACCTTGGGAAGGATGGGGATTCCAGGACACATCAATGTGCTCATGTGGAACTTGTGCATGGATCAAGGGGTAGCTGTGTGAACAGAACCAAGGAGTACTGGGTGGTTTAAAATCAGGAAAGATGTGAGTCAGGGTTGCATCCTCCCACCATACATATTCCATCTGTGTGCTGAGCACATCATCAGGGAAGCTGGATTAAGTGAAGAGTATGGCATCAGGACTGGAGGAAGGCTTATTAAAAACCTGCACTATGCAGACGCCACAACTTTGCCTGCTGAAAGTGAGGAGAACTGGAAGCCCGTGCTGATGAAGATCAAGGACCGGAGCCTTCAGTGTGGCTGACAGCTCAGTGTCAAGAAGACCCAAATCCTCACAGCTGGACCAGTAGGTGACGTCAGGATCAATGGGGAAAAGGCTGACGCCAAGGATTTTGTTCTGCTTGGATCCACAATCAATCCTCATGGAAGCAGCAGTCAAGAGATCAAAATATGCATTGCATTGGGGTCAGTCTGCTGCACGAGACCTCTTCAAAGTGTTGAAAAGCAAGGCTGTGACTTTGAGGACTAAGGTGGGCCTGACCCAGCTATGGTGTTTTCACTCGCCTTCTGCGAAGAAGAGTCGGTGCGTTTGAATTGTGGGGTCAGCGAGGAATGTTGGAAGTGCCAGGGGCTGTCTCTGAAGAAGGACCATCAAAGTGCTCCGTAGAGGCGAGGCTGATGAAAATTCATCTCACATTCGGTGGACGTGCTGTCAGGGGAGGCCCGTCCCTGGAGAAGGGCATTGTGCTTGGTAAAGTGGAGGGGCCGCGACAGAAAGGAAGACCCTCGCTGAGGTGGATGGACACAGTGGCTACAACCACGGGCTCAGGCACAGGGACAATGGTGGGGGTGTCCCAGGACCGAGCCGTGTTTGGTTCTGTTGGGCCCGGGGCATGATGGGTCAGAGGTGACTCGGCGGTACTGAGGAGCAAGTGGCAGGCAGTTGGGTTGGGCTTGGCTTGGCTTGGCTTGGTCTGGTTTGGCGGCACAGTGGTCAAAGTGCCAGACGATTCAAACCCAGCAGCCCCCAACCCTCCTGGGAGAAGGCCGAGGTCAAGCGCCTCAGAGACCCCCTGGGGCACTTCCTGGGTGGCTCAGGGTCTCTGTGAGTGAGAGTGGACTGCTGGGCAGTGGGTGCTCTTGCTTAGCCCATGCAGCCCCCATGAGGCTGGTTCCCCGCCCTTCTCACACTCCAAAGGAAGACCTGGCCACAGAGGGGTCGGGTGGTCTGGCCAGAGCCACACAGCTAGTGAGGGTCTGAATTGGCAGGGTGTGGCAAGCCTGTGGCCACACTCCCCGAGGGCTCTGGGCACTGCCTTGGCAGGACATTGACCCTCCTCTTTGCCCTAGGAGCTGGGGATTCCTGGCTCCCCACAGAAGGTCCTGGCCCCAGAGAGGGGGGAACACCAGAGGAGGCAACTCCAGAGGGAATGCTCATGTGGGGAGGGGACTTGGCGAGGGGCCTCCCTGTGAGGGGTCACCTGGCCATGCATGCAGGTGAAGGTGCTGGAGGCCGAGGCAGAGAGGAAGAGCCGAGAGCTGGCCGACATGCAGGCCCATGCTGCCCAGCAGGCTCAGCGCCAGCAACAGGAGCAGCAGGCTGCACTGGAGCTGCAGCAGAAGGCGGCTGCGCTGGAGATGGCCTGCGAGGGTGCTCAGAAAGAGGTGGGTGAGGCACCTGGTCTGCCAGCCTGCCCAGGGGGAGCTGTGGAGGGTGCAGCAGCAGGGTCCCCGTCACCTTCATCTGCATCTGAGTGATGTGCACTTGTCAGGGGAGGGCGCTGCTGGGATAGCCACCCCCCTCCTCCTGGGCCCAGAGCTCGGTGTCAGAGACCAAGGCCAACCTTGACCTCAGCCTCCAGCCCGGGGAGGGGGTGGGGGGATGAGTCACCCCGGTAAACACTATCTAGCCCCATAAACTCCTATGTCCCTGTGCCCTGCTTAGACCTACACACACAGACTCACACACATGTATGTCCTCCTGCCTCTGCTCGCACACACATCTGTGCCTTCAGCCTCCATGACAGCTTCAAAGACTCCCTATCCACCCACCACACACAGCTCTCCTGTCCTGTTCGCTGAAGGGCTGCGATGCGGGGAGTCAGGCAAGTGCTTGGTATCCTGGGAATACCTTTGCCCACCTGAGCTCAGGCATCCCTCAAATGTGGCTGGCAGGTGGCTCGGAGTCCTGGGTTATGGCCTGCAAGGACAGTGGTGGGCGTGAGTGACCTCAGGGTCTCTCTACTTAGCCTTTACCCCCACCCCTCACCCTGTACCCCTCCCCAGGCCCTGGGGCTGCAGCGGAAGCTGGCGGAGGCAGAAGCAGGCAGCGATGCCCGGGAGAAGCAGCTGGGGGTGCAGCTACAGGAGAGCCAGGTGGCTGAGCAGAAGCTGCGGGCTGAGGTTCAGCGTGCTGCCCGGAAGCTGCGGCAGGTGGATAGCAGGGCAGAGGTCCTCCGGACACGCCTGGACCGTGCCAGCATTCGGATTCAAGACCTTGAGCAGGAGCTGACCTGCGCGGAGGATGGGCGGCGGGATGCGAAGGCCCAGCTGGACCGTCTGTGCTCCGCGCTGCGCCGTGGGCTGGGGCTCCGGGGACTGAGCCCCTCACCCCTCGCCGAGCGTCCCAGCTCACCCATTGAGGGTCAGCACCTGCCAGGCTCTGACATCCGTCTGGGCACCTGGGGGAGTGGGGCGTGAGGAGAGATGTCTGTCTCCAAGTCTCTGTCCACATTCCTCAGCTACCACTGTCCTACAGGCTCCGATGGCTCCCGGGCTGACACTGGGCGACACAGGGCCAGCCCCTCCACACAGCCCAGCCCACCACTCCGATGGCCCTCACAAGGTCCCAGGGACAGTGGCCTGGAGGTCCTGGACGCAGCCTGTGTGCGGGACGCGCTGAGAGACTTTGTGCAGAAGATGCGGGATGCTCAGAGAGAGCGGGTGAGCCCCTGTGGCCAGCCCCTCCCCACACATCAGCTACAGGGTGGGCACAAGGGGCACTCAGACTGCTCTCCATCTGGCCCTGGCCCCACGGCTGCTGAGACCACCCTTGTGGGACAAGAAAAAGCCCCTGAGCCAGCACCAGCCCTGTGCGGGGACTAGCCTCCCACCCCAGGCCTGAGGGCAGCTGAGCCACCCATTCCCCAAAGCCACGGAGCTGCCCACCTTGACACCCACCTGCCCTGAAAGCCCCAGCTAGGCTGAGCTGCCTGAGGCAGAAACACCTGCTTGTCCTCCTCACCCACCACCACCCACTGTCCCCGGCTGGTGGACACTTCGCCCGCCCTGCTGTCTGCCCCGCTGACCTGGGCTTCTCTCCCTGCTAGGATGATGCCCGTTGTCAGGCGGTGAGCCTGAGCGGCCGGCTGAGCGAGGCTGAGAGTGCACGGGCCCGAGCCCAGAGCCGTGCCGCACAGCTGCAGAAAGCCCTGTCTGAGGCCGAGGAAGGTGGTCTCCTGCCCCCACCCCATCCCAGGGAGGGCAGAGAGGGGCAGGGAGGGCAAGGAAGGGCAGTCCTGTCCCGGGAGCTGCTGGGGTGGCCATCACGCTAGGCAAGGGGTTAGATTGAGAAGTCTCATGGGCCCCACATGCCAGTCTAGCTACACCCACCGACCACGTGGCCCCACACCACACAGGGCGTCCAGGGAGTGTGCCCCCAACGGCCTAGAGGGTTGTACCTCCCCCATGAGGCCCCTGGATGACCACACCTGCCCTCAAGGACCCCCTGCCACCACCATCCTCACCACATGTCAACCTGCTTACTGTCCCCTCCCATTCAAGGGTCAGCCCCAGAAGGGCCAGCCTGAGCCCAGGTCCAGCCAGTGATGAGGAATACCTGTAGGACAGAGGGACGGACAGAAGGGCATGGGCACAGAGGGCCAAAGGGCCAGGGGGCAGCAGGAGTGCCAAGGAGACTGGAGCTCATTCAGAGAGAGGGTGGGACCACGAGGCTGCGTGGCTCTGCAGTGTCCTTCACACTCACCAGGGCCCAGTTTGCAGACTTATGAAGGCGGGGGGGGGGGGGTTACAGCAGCCCTCAGACACCCACCCACCCCCACAGGCCAGCGCTGGGCAGAGGGCGAGCTGAGCCGCCTGCGGGTGGCACAGGCCCAGCAGGAGGCCTCCCTCCGCAGGCAGGAGGCGCAGCACCAGGCCAGCGCCCGGACAGCCGCCCAGGAGAAGCTCCACCTCCAGGTGGGTCCCTACGGAGAGCACAAGGGGGGACCAGGGGTGGGACTGGCTTCACAGACGGAGAGACTGAGACGTGGGGAGGGCATGGCCTCAGGTTTTTCCTCCTTCCTCACACTCCCCAGCCTGGTCCTCGGTGCTCCCTGGAGACCCCGTTTATGCTGCTTAGGGAGTCCCCTTGTGCTTCCATAGACCCCCCCCCCACCTGTCTCTCCATGAATCCCCCCTCTGCGCTCCCTATGGACCCTGCTCTGTTCCCCATGGATCCTCTCTTTGTTTCTGAGACCCCTCTGTTCCTGGGGACTCATCTGTGTTCCTGGGACCCTTATGTGCCCTTCATGGATTCTCGCCATGTCCCCAGGGGTCCCCTGTCCTTCTGGGACCCACGCCCCTGTGCTGGCCTCCGGAGACCCCTGAGCAGCTTTCATGGACTGAGGTTTCAGGGTGGAGCTGGGCCCCGGGAGGGTGCGGTCAGCTGGTGGACAGGCATCAGTCCAGGCTCCAAAGCCAGGCGTAAACCTGGGAGGTCCTCACCCAGCAGGTGCAGGCTGTGACCTCTGGAGGTGTAGTGAGGACCCGCCATACCAGGGAGCCCGGCACAGAGAAGAGAGAGCGGCCCCCCAGGAGTCGGGGCAGCAGGAGGGGTGTGACGACCTCCTGTAAAGTCTGAACTCAAAGCAAACCCACAGCCGCGAGCCCGGCTGACAGGACAGAGCAGAGGTGCCCCTGCGGGTTTCTGAGACAGCAGACACTTGCCTCTCCCTCAGCGTTTTGAACCCTGATGTTGCCGTTAGCAACCCCAGGCTTAACTCACTGTGTCACCAGCCTAGGATGCTCGTGACCCAGGGGGTGATGAACCGGCCCGCCAAGCCTCCGTCACACAGCCCCCCCCACCTGAGGCGCCCCCCGCCCCAGACTTGAGAGGAGCCCTGGTGGGGGGGCGAGGCCCCCGGCTGGTAACCAGAAGCATGGCGCTCTGAGCCCCACCCCACCCCACCCTTCCACAAGAGCAGAGGTGTGGCCACCTGTGCCCGCAAAGGGGACGGTCTTGGAAGCCCCAGTGGGCAGTCCTGCTCCGTCCCTGGGTCACCAGGAGTCGCTGGTGACTGGGTGGGGCACCAAACACCAGACTGTGTGTATCAGACAAGGGCAGCAGTGTGAAGCCCCCAGTCGCAGTCTCAGAAACCCGCAGGCCCAGTTCTACCCTGTCCTGCAGGTGGCTCTGAGTTGGCATCAACTTGGGGGTGGGGAGGGGGGCTTTTTTTCCCCCGGTTTTAACCCAAGAGCTGCTTCTGGCTGTCAGTGCGGTCCCGGGAGCCATGGGATGAAGTTTGCAGATGGAACTGGGGTTCCTGATCAGGGGGACTTGGGATGGGGACATTCTCCTGGGGCGTGGGGTCGGTGAGGGACATCATCATCCAAAACTTCCAAACCTGTTGCCGTCGGTCCATGCCAACTCACAGGACCCCGGAGGCCAGAGTGGAACTGGCACCGTGTGTTTTCGCGGTCACACTACAGGAGGTGGGGGGGCATCTATCCCCTGGGGGCCTGAAGCCACCAGCCTTCATGATGCTGCCAAGGCTTACCCCCTGTGCCCCAGGGCCTGCAGGTGGACCTGCTGAGAGTGGCTGAGAGGGCTGGGGTAGGGTGAGGTGGGGATGGCTTCCATCTCTGTCTGTCCAAGGGGTATTTGTGCCCCAGGCTGCTCGGTGTAAAGGTTTAGCCTCAGAAAGCCCCAGGGCAGTCCCACCAGCGCTGCAGGGTGGACAGGACTCAGAGAAGAGGTGTGTGGCCCCACCCTGTGCTGGCTCTGTTAGGTCTCCACGCTGTGCCCCCCTGCCCCTCCCTCTGTGTGCTGTCCTGCGGGCACTACTCACGATCCACTCTGCCCAGGCGCTGGGTGGTCATCCTCTCCCCTAGAATACAGATGCTTCTGAGTCACCTCCCACCCTTCTGGGGGGTCCAGGTTCGGCAGCTGTCTGACTCTCCCCATCCAACTCGGACACCAGGGCTTCCGCAACTCTGATCTCCCATGCCGGCCTGAGACGCTGGTCTGGTGCAGCTCCCACCACAACCTCTGCCCAGGTGTCCAACCCTCTCTGTTGGCCGAAACAAACCCTGCTTCTACATTCACTTGTCCTCCATCTTAGAGAGCCATCTCCTGGCCCATGGCCTCTCATCCTCCCAAGGATCCAGAGGTGGCTGGCCCCTGGCTGGCCCCACTAGCCCAGACCCTCCATCCTGGGGGGGATTCACGAGTCAGTGACTGCCTGCCTCTCCACTCCACAGCCCCCTCTTTGGGCCATGGGGAGAGCCCTGTCTGCATCCATCCATGTTCGCACTGCCTCTTGAGTCTCCTGGAGGAGGTCAGTGGCCACCTGCACAGCCGGCCCCGGCTCCTGGCAGTATCTCCTCTTTCCGTAAGCAGAGAGCCCTCAGCAGATGCCTGAGCACAGCCAAGTCCAGGGGGAGGAGGGACAGACCCTGACAGTGAGAGGGACAGAGAGAGGGAGGGACAGACCCTACAGTGAGAGGGACAGAGAGAGGGAGGGACAGACCCTACAGTGAGAGGGACAGAGAGA